TGGGGTCCTGGGATCGAGCCCTGCGTCGGGCTCCCTGCCCAACAGAGAGCCTGCTTTTCCTCCTCCCTCTGCTGCTCCCCCTGCTTGTGCGCGCTCTCTGTCTCTCTCTCTCTCTCTCTCTGTCAAATAAATAAATAAAATATTTTTTTAAAAAGGCTAAAAAAAGCTCAAAAAAATCTAGGAAATTAAATATTTTAGCAGGAATTAAAAATCCGATAGAAGGATTTGAAGATAAAATTGAGACACTCTCCCAGAAAGTAGGGCAAAACCAAAGGCTTGGGAAACTGGTTGGGATTTAAAGACAGAGCGGACCGGTCCAGGAGGCCCAGTAAGAAGTGAGAAAACATCCTAACATGAGAGTCTGCTCCATGAGGGAAGGGACTTCTGTCCACTTCGTTCACTGCTGTGTCCCCCAGAGCTTGGAACAGTGGCAGGCAGCCTTGAAAAATATTTGTTAAATGAAAACATAATAGGAGGAAATTGTTCAAGAAAACTTCAAACTGAAGGAACTAAACTTCCAGGCTGAAGGGGTAGGTTGAACATCCAGCAAAATAAAGGAACAGAGTCCCATCAAAGTGCAATACCGTGAAATTTCAGAACAGCTAAGGACAAAGAAAAGGCACTACTAGATTCCAGTGAGAACGGGGACTTTCAGAGACTTAAGAATCGGAAGAACTCTGGACGTCCATCCCCTTGAAGATAACAAGGCAAGCCTTCAAAGTTTTGCAGGAAGATTATTTCTAGTCTAGAATTACATGCACATATCAAACTATCAAATGCAAAAGTAGAATAAAGACATTTTCAGACATTCAGTCTCAAAAAATGTACCTGCCATGTATCTCTTTCAGGAATCTATGGAGGCTCTGCTCCACTAAAATAAGAAAGTAAGAAAAAGGGGGGCCCGGCCAGCTCAGTCGCAAGAGCATGTGAGTCTTGATCTCAGGGTTGTGAGTTTGAGCCACGATGGGGGTAGAGATTACTTAAAAATAAAAATCTTAAAAAAATAAAGATAATGAAAAAAAAAAAAGAAGAAAAAAGAAGAAGCCATGGGATGTAAGAAACATGAGGATGTCACAGAGAGATACAAAGGAAATGCCCAGAATGACGAGAAGGGAAATACCAGGATGGTGGCGGTGCCCGGGATGGAGGTCCAGACTGCAGCAGACAGGAACAATCTCCAGGAAGACGAAACTGTTAGAATGCCTAACGGATCTGTCTTCAGAGAGATGCAGATCATTGAGGAAGAGTTTGGGGTTGAATTAATGTTTAGAGCTTAGAAAACAAAGCAAGCCAAAAAAGAAAAGAAAAGAAAAGAAAATTAAGAAAGTAAAAGAAGAAAAAAGAAAGAAAGAAAAAGAAGAGAGATAATTACTAACCCCAGGGAAATTCTTAAATTATGCAAAAAGGAAAAGTAATCAGGGCCTGCTCCTTGGCTCAGCTGTGCATGAGTCCTAATCTAAATACTGATCTAACCAAAATTATTATAAAACTATGTTGGGAGATGAGGGGTGGGTGCAGTGGTGTGCTGGTAAAGCAGTTGCAGTGGGGGTCAGGGAACCCTGACTCGTTGTTTGTTCACTGCCGTGGCTCATACTCCCACCATGGCTGGTCTCGGGCCACCAGCGTCATGTCAGTGCACATGAATTTGGAAAGAGATGCCCCGAAACAGTTCTTGCTGGTTGCTACAGGCACATACATAACTGGGTGGGGGTGGGGGGCACAGGTAAATCCTCACCATCCAGAATGGGAATTCAATAGATCCTGCCTGAAACTGAAACATCAAGAAGTAGTAATAAAAGTATGTTAGAGATTTGGAGATAAATACCAAAAGTATCAGCTAAGAGAGTTGAAGGTGGTTGTCTCCCTAGAGAGGGAAAAGTGGAAGACAGGGCATAGGGCTGTTTTTGGTAACTGACGGTGTAGATCTACAGGGTTCTGTTAATGGTGGTCATATACAACTCTGATCAAAACACAAAAGTTAAATAAGAAATGCAGATGAAGCGTAGGCAGTCCTTGGCACAGCCCATGCTCCCTTGTTTCCCCAGGGATACACCCAGGTATTTGGGGTGCACTTAGCAGAGGGGGGGACTCTGTGTGTAGGATGGGCTGGACACCTATGGGATGTGGGCCACTGAAGCAGGTGTGTATCTGAGCAGACAGGACTGGTTAGGGCAGGGAGCACTAACATTTATTGGACATTTATTGTGCCATGACAGATACTTTGATATGTGCGATATGTGTGTATCAGTGGGGGCGGAGGGTTGCTCAGTGCCGGGGGTGGTACTCACGCTGCCTGGTCGGGGACTGATCTCGGGGACCCCATAAGTAGTCCAGCGTGAAGTCTCTTTGTTCAACTCCTTGTACTTGCCCTCAAAGACACGCTTGATGTCCTTGAGAGAGAAGGCACAGACAGCAGAGCTCCTGGTCCCGCCGATCTGCCTGGGGATAGCCCAAGGGGACATGGTCATCTCTGCTCTACCATGAAGCTCCCCCTCCAGCCCTCACCCACCCTTGAGAAAGCCCTGGAGGGCAGGAGTGTGGAGGGCCGGATTGGCCTACTGCTGCCTACTTTCCCCCCAGCCGTGGTGATAAGGGCTAGGAGAGCCCCTGACTCTGGCCCATCTTAGGATTATCCTTAAGGACAATTAATTGGGTTTCAGGTCTTGGGGTGGCTCCTGCCTGTCTTGCCCAGGCTGAGCTGTACCCATGGGAGGGGCAATGTAACTAGATCCTGACAGGCTCCAGATGAAGCTCTGCTCCTTTGGGTCCCCTGGATTCTTGATCCTCAGACAACCAACCAGAGCCCGACTATGAGGCTACTTCTATTCCTTTAGCCCTGGTCTGTGGAGACAGGTTTCTCTTGTTCTCTTTAACCTGATTGTGGCACACACCATGTTCTCAGTTCTGGATGCCACTGATACCAGCCCCTGCTTACAGCAGATATCTTTGGTATCTGACCCACGGACAGCAGACACCTAAACACTGATGCAATGAACTTTTCTCAGCCTCCAAGCAATGACTTTTTATCTTAGTGACACTGATGGTGTTTCCCTCTTTGCTCTGGCCATTAGGAAGCTCAGAGCTAAGTTTGTAACCAGCATCCCAACACTGCATAAATGACAAACATTTGTGATGTGCTGACCCTATCCCCGCCTTCTTACTCTCCTTTTACTCCCATTTCCTCATCGGTTTGATCTTATCTGGTCTCAATGTTTGCCTTCCGTGAGCTGCCTCCTATCCTTTTTGGAACCCGGCAGGATATAAAGGAGTAAGAACCTCTTTGAGCTTTATCTTTCCCATCTACACGAAGGGCATGAGTCAGATTCCTGGGACGTGGTGACGGGCACATGCCTTCCTAGGTGAAGTGCGTGGAGTGAGCGCTCTGGACCCCACAACCCGCGTGCAGGCCCCGCGTCCCCGCCGCGCTGCTCACCACTGAGAGCTGAAGGCCGCATAGACGCGGGGCTCGGCGGAGGCAGCGGCGGGCAGCAGGACGGCGTGGCGGATGACGTTGAAGGGCAGCTGCCCGGGCTGCGAGCATAGCAGCTGGGCCTTCAAGAAGGTGGTCCATTTCTTCTGCAGCAGCTTGTCCCCGCCCACGTCGTTCTAGGGCCGCGGGGGCGGAGTCAGGAACGCCCCGCCCACCGCGCCCCGCCCCCGCCCCCACTGGGCCCTGGGCGCTCGGTCCCGCCTCTGCCACCTCCCCATTGGCTCCCTCCACGGCCAGCCCCGCCCCCCTCCCGGCCGCAGACCTTGCAGACTCTGGCCACCCGGGACGTGTGGAGCTTCTCGAAGAACTCGAACTCGCTGGCTGTCTCCTCGAAGAAGAAGTAGACGAAATGGGTCGAAGGGATGGCTGCCACGAAGGAGGCGTCCGCTGCGGGGCGGGGCACATAGGCTTAAGGTTGGGACACCCCAGGGCTGGTTCTGCAGCGGCAGGCCGCCCGACGGGATGCCCCGCGGCTGGCCAGGGGTGGCCCTGGGGGCGCCTGCTCCCGTCGCCTTACGGGGTCGGGAACTGCACCCCCCCGAACAGGGCCGCCCGGCACAGAGGGGCCTCTGCACGGAGGACGTTGGAGTGCAGGAACGCGGCTCTCGGCCCGGCCGGGTCCCCGCGCTCGGGGCAGGGCCAGACCTGTGCTGGGGGCTCGGGTCCTTACGCTGCAGCCAGCGGAGGAAATTGTCGGTCTTGAGGACGGGCTGGGGTCCCAGCGTGCGGATCAGGATGGGCTCGCTGCCCAGGAAGTTGTTCATGGTGCCAGAATAGAGCATCCCATCTGGGGAGAGGGCGGGAGGCTTCCCGGTTGGAGGGGGCCTCTGCCCTCCTCAGACCTGCCTCTGACCCAGGCCAGTACCCACATGGGTCTCCGGCCCCCTTCCTGTGCCCTCCACCTTCCTGTGGCGCCCATAGCCCAGCTGGCAGACCCCACTGAGCACTGTTGTTAGGGAACCCTGCCGCAGGGAGGAGCCACCCCTCATGTCCTGTGTGCTGGCCTTGTCCAACCTTTCTCTCACTGCCCCCTCACACACCCAGCTGAACCACGTGCCAAGTAGAATCACTCTTTCTTCCAGAGGTGGCTGTGTTTTCTGTTTCCACACCTTGGTCCCACCCTTCTCTTCCTGGAACATCTTCCCTGCGCATCTACCTATCTTTCGAGGTCCCACTCAAAAGCCAAGGGCCACCTCGTCCAGGAAGCCAAGGTGGGGAGTCTGTCTGGGAGGACACAGATGGTGATTTCTCTGTAAGCTCTATGGAACAAATGGCCGAACCTCAGGCCTCTTCTCCGCCCAAGACCCTTCCCAGACCTATGTGAACCTCTCTCTACCTCTCCCTCTCCACCTCCTTTGTGGCAGCATCAGCAGGAGCTGGGGGTTGGGGTGCTGAGTCTCCCTCTGATCTGGTGTTCAGAGGCTCCTGGCTTCCCCTCCCTCTGTCCCCTGCCTTTCAGGAAACTGTCAGCTTCCATATTTCACAGAATGACCCGGGAAAGCAGATGCCAGGAACCCGATACTCACCTGCCAAGACAGCCGTGTGCTTATGGGCAGGGTCAAAGGGGCTTTGGCCTTTCCCCTCCACAACCTTGTCCTCGGAGATGGGCAACAGGTAGGAATCTTGGAGTTCCTAAAGGGGGGGAGAGGCTGGGGGCCAGAACGCCAGAGTCTCATGTCTGGGAAACGAGGGGCGTGAGGGAGGGAGAGGGACGTGGAGGGGAATTGGGGCCAGGAAGCTCATGAGGGTCCCACATCCGGGAGAGCAGGGTTTTCCAGAGCTCGAGAGGAGGGGGGTTAGGTGTGAGAAGGGATGCTTGGGTCTGAGCACTGGGTGCCGTGACTCACAATGAAGGTACAAGCGGGGCTGAAGGCGAAGGTGCCACAGGTATATAGGTGGGTGGCGTTCAAAGAGACCAGGACACGGATAAAGTTGAAGCACTGGGTCTGGGGAGACAGAGAATCCAGGTGTCTGGCCACTTGCCCCACACACCGGGGCCCCACGGGCTGCCCCCCACTTCCCAGCGGGGAGAGGGCCCGGGATTGCTGAGGCAGTCCCTGGACATCGTCACAGAACGTGGCGCAGACGATCCCCATGGAAAGGAGCCTCCTCCGCTACCTGCCCAACCTGACGTCCTCCAGTGATGGTCTGGGGACCGGGGTTCTCCGCCCCTAAACCCCCACCTCCACTTACCTCATTGCTCTTCTTCTTAAAGGCGCACTCACTCTTTTTTCGGTCACTGGCTGGCCAGGGTATCTGCAGCGGGGGGTCGGGAGGGAGAGGATGTGAGGTCTTGCGCTCTAGCTTGGACCTGCTGTCCTCTCCTTGGGTCTAGTTGGAAGCCACCAGCAGGCATGGCAGTCAGTGACATGAGCTCTAATAACTGCAGTCCGTGACCATGGCTACTATTCTGACGATACTGGTGTTCCTCAGGGCGCAGCTCTGTGGGAGCACACATCCTGTGGAACCAGACCTGAGTTTGAATCCAGGCTCAGCCCCCTACTGGTTGAGTGGTCCTAGTCAACCTCAGAAGCTTCTGGAGGGCACAACCAGGAACATACGTAAAATACCTAACGCAGTGCGTGCTGTGCAGGGCAGCAGTTGACAAACCACACATTTCCTGGGCAAATTGTTCAAAATGTCAGTTCCTGGCTCACACCTCAGAGAATCTGCATTTTCAACCAGCATCCCATATGCGCAGGTGGCCCACAGACCATGCACTGAGAGACACAACAAGGAAGGTGCTCAGTAATTGCTCGCTCCCTCCCTTCTTCTTTCCTTCCTTCCCCCTTTCTTCCTCACATTGTCCCATTAGTAGGGTGACTATAATTTAATACAGAAGTCTTGGTGATTTCTACCAGTGGGTGGATATCATATTATTGATATAATTTGAGTCAGTATTTCTGTCATATGTCAATGATTTCCATATCAGCCATTTTAGCAATTAATATTATTCAGCCAGGATGCATGATAGCAGCAAATAGTGAGGCCACTACTGGGTTTCTTCTCTGTTCTCCAGACCGGATATATGTAGTGGGAATTGCTGGTTACCGCAGGTTGGGGCTGACAGCACTTGGGCAGTGAGTCACGCATGGGCGGTCCAGGCACGGGGCAGCTGTCAGCCCCCCTCACCCCCAGCCCACACCCTTTGTCCCCAGCCTCCTCACCATGCTCTTCAGCTTTGGCATCCCCGGGTTCTGGATATCCAAGGCCAGAATGGCCTCTCGAGCCCCCACATAGAGAGTGCCTCCGTCACCACTCAAGAGCAGAGTGTCGAAATCCTGGAGGCCCTTCTGGTGGAAGAGGCTGAGAGCCCTGCGTCCCTCCCCTGTTGGGAAGTGATGAGAAGGGGTGAGTGATGAGGAGTGGGTGGGCAGGCAACTGACTTCTGAGGTCAAGGTGTGGGGGGAGGGTTGGCAGAGTGTGTTCCCCAGGCCTTGGCAGCTGGACCCGCTCTCCATCGGCAGCTCCCCCTCCCCCTCCCCCCACCCTGCCTGCTGGTGGTGTAGGAGCTCTGTGTTGAGCCCACAGGGGAGAGAAGAGGCAGCCAGAGACAGGCTAATGACAGCCTGGGGCTGGGAAAGGTGGCCTGCACCCAAGAGACAGACAAAGGGACGGGAAATAGAGCGAGGCACGTGGACACTCTTCCAGGCCTCGGAGGGGCGAAGGGGGCAGGGGAAGGAGGCGCTGGTCCTCCCCCAGGGAGGAGCAGGGGAGCAGAAGGCAGACAGACAGACAGGAAGATCCTGGGAGCCACAGACAGGACGGTGTGGCTTGTAGGGTCACACTCACCAACCCCCTTTCCCCTCCTCTAGCAGGAAATTCGACCACTAGAATCACAGCCACAGGCTGAGCAGAGCAGACACGTATGTCTTCAAAGGCCCCTGTGGGCTTGCCTGGATGTCACCTGGGGGGGTGGGGGTGAGCTGGCTCCCAGGGGGCACACCAGCGACAGGGACAAGCTGCTCCGTCCCCTCACGGGCGCATGCGCACCTTGGCCCTAGTTAGAGGACCACCTAGCCAAGCGTCACCATTGGAAGCTCTGACCATCTCAGGACCAGAAGGAGAAGTTGGCAAGGTGCCAGAAGGGGTGGCCTCCCTCAGAGCTGTGTAAGTCCTTTGCTCACTGAGCTGACCACCCTTAGCATGGCTGGCTGCTCACCTGCATCCCCGCTCAGGCCTGCGAGCACCCTGAGCAGGGCCGAGTCTTGTCTCTGTTGGTAATTCCAGCACCCAACACAGATGCTCAGGAGACCCTGCGCCCACATCTCCTGCAGGGCCCAAGTCCTTCCCTGAGCCTTCTCCCTGGAGGTGGGAGGGCCAGCGGCCCCCACAGCCTCAGCAAGAAACCAGCCGACAGTGCCCGTACCCCAATGGGCTGCCCTGACTCTCTTATTCCTGGTGTCCGTGGTACTGGACACGGCGTGGTCCGGTGTGATCTGTGTGGTTGCCATGCGCCTGTCGTGTCCCGGGCTGCCAGGTCCATGGATGACCTTGGCTTTGGGGGTGCGTGGGGGCGTGAAAGCAGTTGGGGGTCTGAAGTGCCGGGGGGTGAGGGAAAGAAAAAGCACCATCTCCGAGAAGCACCCTGGGCCCTCCCTTCGCTCAGTCTTTGGCCACACAGTTTCTTCACGCCTTCCTCAGTCTCTGGCGCTCCCCACGTCCCTTTCCTCCCCCTGTCCCTCGGGCTCTCTCTTCCTCCGCCCCTCCCAGCTTGGCTGGCGGCAGGCACGCGGCCCTGCGACCCTTACCTGCACGGTACGTGATCCTGGGCAGGGGCTCCTGCCCACTGGCCCCTGCAGTCGGCGGCAGGAACAGCTGGGAGAGGAAAAGGCCCAGGAGGCTCCAAGGGTCCCGGCCCAGGGCCAGGAGGGCCATGCTCAGCTGGAGGCTGTCACCAGATGGCTCTGAGGAAACAGGCACCCAGGCACTCCCTGGGGGAGCCATCCTCACCACATCCCCCCCAGGGACCAATGGGAGAGCCCCAGGCAGCAGAAGTGGGGGTGGGGGTGGGGGTGCCGGGGAGGGGACAGTTTCCTTTACAGAGTGCCCTCAGAGTCTCGCTTCCATCATGCACAGGCGCCAGCCGGCTGCCTCACGCTCGCCTCGGGGTCAGAGTCCTGCCATCAGGCCTGTCCTGATCTCTGGCCACCACTGGCCCTGCTCTGCCTTTTCTCTCCTTACTCTCAGGAAGTCCTTCTTGCTGTCTACTGCTTTCCTTCCCTTCCCCGTAGCCCAGAACCCAAACCCTTGCCTGGCCCCGGGAAGAGCAGATCCCTGCACTTAAAATACAGGTTAATCGGACCCATGTCTCCCGGCACTTTCAGATCTGTGGACACCCTGGTGCCGCACTCTCACCCCTGCCCTCCGATGACCTAGGCAGGCCTGAGTCGGCCTGCTCTGACCTCTCCCCTCGCCCCAGCCGGGCGCAGGTCTTCGATGCCCAGGCCTACCTGGCCCTCTCCTTGCCGGGAGGCGTTGCGGGGCCAGGCAGGCTCCCAGCACTGCCCGGAGCTCCTGCAGTTGGCCCTCTCCCTGGGCTCTGTCCCCCTGGGTGGCTGCATCCGTGTCCCCAGGACCGTCAACCTCCAGCCACCCGCCTCATCCCACATACCCTTGAGCCAGCCACAGAGCAGAACCCCGGGTGTCCGGACTCTGGGATGGAGGGGGTCCCCAGGCCCCGGAGGTGGGGAACGGAGGGCTCAGCCCGGCTGGGCCGGGAGCGCGGCCCTCCAGGTACCCATAGTGCCAGAGCCAGCACTGGGAGCTCTGGAAAACCAGAATTTCCACCTCTCGAGTCCTGACAGATCCCTGGCTTGGGTGGAACTGGGGGTGGGGTTGGGCGGGCAATGAAAGGAGACTCGCCTCGGCCTCCCTCCTCTCTCTCTCCATCCATCCAGAAAGTTGAAAAGGCCAGAAAGTTTCTAGGTCATGTCAGCTACCCCTCTGCCCTCTGTCATGCCACATCCCATCTGACCAGCCCAGGAGTGACTTCTCTTGCTCAAGCCCTCACAGATAGGAGACGTGACACCATCTCTGTTCCTCTTTTGGCTCACCCACAAGATGAGGTCTCTTCACTGCTCAGGACTCGGAAGTGCCTACAGTGGTCTAACCTTCAAACTTCCACTTCCAGCTGGGCCGCGGTCCTGAGAGACGGCAGCAGCTGTCTTCGGCTCTCACCCGCGGCCGTGCTGACCGCGTCCCTCTGCAGCCTGGTGCCCGTCACTCCCGGGCCAGCAGCAGGCCGGGCGGAGGCCCAGAACGTGTCCCATCTGAGCTCACACCTCGGGGACACGCTGCTGAGGCACCCAACCCCCCGGTGGTGGTGGCTCACCTGCCCCTGGAGGCCCCAGGGGGGAGCCCCGTCATAACGCAGGGCTAATGAGGCGTCTAGCACCGAGGCTTCACAACCTATAAAGTGGGTAGTTTCCGGCCCACTCAGCCCGAAACTGGCTGGCTGCTGGTTTGAGAGCACCAGCCATTGCAGGGCTGACCTGCTCCAGCCGGCGGCCCAAGTCCTTCTCAGATGCCCGTTCCTCAGGCAGGGAGCCCTTCCCGTCCTGCCATCCCGCTGGTCACCGTGCAGCCCAGGTCGCTCCCTAGATTTCCCTGTCAGGGCCCCTCGCCCTCTTTCCTTGCCCCTCTGCTCCCATTTCCCCTCCATTCGCCTGGGGGTTGGTCTCAGGCAGACCCCTCCTGACAACTGTGTCGACTCTCCCAGACTTTCACGGAGGCTGGTGGCCAGGTCCTTGGGAGAAGCCGGGGGCCAAGCCACTAGGGAAAGTCTTTCAAAGACTCTCGGAGTCCCGGGAAACTCCCACCTGGACCCCACCTTCTGCGCCTCCCCACCTCCCAGCCCAGACTGGGACCTGCCCTGGCCCTGGGCCTCTCTGCTTGAACAGATTAGCTTATCTGGGTCACAGGGAGGAGTTCTGATGGGGGGCACGTGGGGGAGGCAGCTCCAGCCCCACGCTCTCAGCCCGACGCCCCGTTTCTGCCTCTGCAAGTGTTCTATTCAACATGCCAGTCCCACGTCCTCCTTCCCCAGAGACCCAGGAATTTTCCTTCCGGCCGGGTCAACTTTCCCAGGCCCTCCAGCCAACATGAATAGTTTGCATTATTAAGCTTTGGTCCACCCAAGAATTTTAGCAGCTAGTCACCACCGTGGTCCCATTTCACAGGAGAGGAGAGTGAAGCTCAGGGAGGCTACACAGGGAGAAGCCAAGTTAGACTCAGATCTGCCTAAAACGAATCCCTTGACCACCCAGTGTCTGGGGAGGGCTGACTCCTGCGGTCCTCCCTTAGCTCTGGGCCACTTGGACGGGGCAGACAGCTCCCGGGGGGTGGGGGTGGGGGGCGGCAAGCTCAGCTCTTCTGGGCTGAGAGCATGTATCTCAGGGGACTCCCGACTCAAGAGGGAACAGAAACCTCTCTGGCCGTCGGGTCAAGGCACGAGCCCCACATCCAGCAGGGCCGGCAAGGTCTATGGAAGAGCCTGACAGGGAGCTAGGGCACCCTGCCCCGCCACTGCCCCTCCTGCACGGGAGGCCCCGGAGTCAGACGCCGCGACCCGAAGCCGTGGCCCCGCTGCAGCTGGGGAGCCCCACCGCCAGGCTGGTTTCAGGGGCACGTGACCTGGGCAGTCACAGGAGCCCCCACAGGGAAGGGCCCACGCAGGATCTGATGCTCTCCTGCTGCCGTCCCAAAGGCGGCTGACCCTTTCTGAACACGGGACCGCCCCACATCTTCCTTTTGCACCAGGCCGGCAGATGATGTAGCAAGCTCCCCGCAGACAGGGCCCCACCTCCCTCTTCCCTGCCCCAGTGAAGAAACCAGGGCCCGCAGGGGAAGTACAGCTGCGGGGGTGGTAAGAAGGGACAAGGCCTTAGGGGCTATGACATTGCATAGCCCCAATGGGGGGTCCCTCAGCTCCTTTCTCCCCAGGCTGGGGACCCCCTAATAGCAACAGTGCTGAGTTCAACCCTGTCCCCCACCCCAGGGTCCACCTCCTCTGGGGACTCTTTCCCCACGACCCCTAGATCACATCAAATAGTAGCCTCTTCTTGCCAAGTTTTCTGGTCCAGGGTGGAGATCTAGCTCTGGGGGTTAGAGGTGGGAGGGCAGACGGAGATGTTGGTCTCCACCCTACCCCGTGCTCCCCCCTGCGCCCCTACCCCCTGCTCACCCCCTGCACCCCTACCCCGTGCTCACCACCCTACACCACATCCTGTACTCATCCCCCTGCACCCCTACCTTGTGCTCATGCCCCTGCATCCCTACCCTGTGTTCACTGCCCCCCCGACCCCTACCCCATGCTCCCCCCTCCCTCCCCACCCCGTGCTCACCCAGAGAACTCTGGGGCACCTTGTCTCTTCGGTACCCCAGGGCACATGGATACCTCACTGAGAGGGGCTCCAGGAGTGGGGAGAAAGGCTTTGCTAATGACCTAGCAGGTCCAACGCCCCCTACCCCCTCTCCCTTCCAGCCTCAAGGGCAGCCCCAGAAGAGCACAGTTGTGGGGAACATCAGCTTCCTGGCTCCCCTTCCTCTGCCCCACCTGCCCAGCCGCTGGTTGCCCTCTTTTTATTATCACAAGCAAGTCATATCAACTTCTATTTAGGTGCCTACTGCAAGGGATGTCCCTAGCTTCTACCCCCCCAGAAACCCCACACCTCTTCCCACCCACACTGTCTCTCAGCCTTCTTGCCACCCGCCCAGCCCAATCCCCCCTAACCCTTTACCCAGGGCCTCCTAGGCTTCCTCCTCCAATCGGACTGTGCTGGAAGGCTGAGCTGAGTACCGCACACAATGGCCCGACCCCTCGGTCTGCCCCCTCCTCAGGGCAGAGCCCGCGCCAGACAATGGCCCGCCCCCTCCCTTCAGCTTTCCGGCTCCCTTACCTGGAGCTTGGGGATGCACGGTGCTTCCCTCCCCCTGGAATGCCAGGCAGTTCCTGTCTCCCAGTGCCTCCGTCCCTGCCACACCCCCGCCCCCCATCCTCAACCCCATCCCGCCTCACTGGTCCTCAGTCACCATGGCGACCGCATCTCTAAGTGGGAGGGACTAGAATCTCCCCATATTCTTCCTCCTCCTACCCGTGTCCCCCTGTGCCCCACCTTCTGTGGCTCATGGATCCACATGTGTGGGGGAGGCAGGGCTCCAGATGTGGGGGGGAAGCAGGAGGGGAACACTAGCCCCTGGGGGGTCCTTGCTCAGTTCCCTCTTCCCCTGTCAGGCAGGCATCACCTCACAGATGTCCCCCAGCTGGGTTCAGGGGTCATGTGCGGCCAAATTCTCTCTATGGTCAGTTTCTCTGGGTTTCCCTCTTCCCTGGGAACTGTGTCTATGTAAGGGGGAAGGAGGTCATACCTGGCCGCCAGCCAGCCTGACCCCATGCAAACTAAGTTTGCCAAGGAGGAGGCAAGTGAACATACAAATATCTGTGCAAATAAGCTGAGAGGCAGGGTCTCTGTCAAGAAGCCCTCTCTTCTGTTCTTAGTATCCTGACTCCCCTGGAAAGGCGAGCACTGCCACGCTCAGCTTCTGCCATTTCTTCCCGAGCCACTGTACCAGAGCCTTCTTTGCCTAGCCCCCTGAGACCTGTCAGGAGGAGAAGGGCTATGCTGTAAGAGGAAGGATGAGGGCAGACTGCAGAAGGGACTTTCCAAAGGTCTAGACCAGATGCAGATAAAGCAGAGACAAGCCTGAGCTGGATTCTTTCCCACCTCTCGAGGGGCAAGCAGAGATCTGGCTGCAAGCTTTGAATCTGGGCCTGTGTCCTCTCCCAGCCCCGAACCTGAGCACCCCTCCCTGCTCTCCTGTCCCCACTGGACCTCAGCTCCCTCCTTGGTAACATGAGCAGTGGACAAAGCCCCTTCCAGGCTGGCTTCTCTGGGCTTGCGGGAGGAGGCACCGGGGGGCTGGGAAGCAGGAGCCCTGGGTCCCAGGCCAGGCCGCCTCGAACTTGCTGTGTGACCCCAGAGAGCGTGCTTGTTCTCTCTGATTCACATGGGTAAAATCATAGCTTTCTAGCCTACCTGGGAGCAGTTGGGCTCATTTCTAGACTAAATAGTGTTTCTAAGAAGAAGGAAGTAAGTGTGCTGGTGCTGGCTCCGGGCTGAGCTTTCAGAGGCCCAGTCTGGTTCCCGTTCAGGTCTGGGTTGGGGGGGGGCGCTGAGCGTTTCTGCCTGGGGCGGGGCCAGTCGGGCTTGGCTTGTGCTGAAAGCAGAAGTGGACTCTGAGCAGAGCTCTATCACTGTCCCCACGGCCACCCTTCCTTGCTGCCGGCGGCCCCTGGCCTTGGGGCCTCCTCAGAGAGTGCCCACTTGCTCAGGCTCTTCTCCCCCTGGATGGGGCACACGGTGGCGGGGAAGACGGGTTTGGAAATCATGGTGGCAGGGCCAGAGGCGGCTGAGCTAGTGGTGTAAGAGGAAGGAAGAGGTCAGACTATAGAAGGACTTCCCACCTGGGAGTGTCCCTGGGTCTTTCCTCTGCCTCCTTCCCTTCTAGGGGAACTGGGTGCCATCTCTGGAGCAGAATTGTAAAGGCCACAATTCTGAAATACTCTAAGGAAGCCTGCGGGCTCCCCCACCTCTACTTAACCCCGGGTTATGCAGGTGGGCTTCGGGGAGCCTCTCCTGGTCCTGCCCTATGGAATCGGAATTCCAGGAAGGGGCTGGGCTGTCCTGGTGAGGCAGTGGGGACCTAGTCTCGGGCAGTGGCCGTGGCTGTGGTCAGAACTATGCTGGGGTGAGCTGGACGCCCAGTGCCCTGTGTCCCCTTCTTCTGGGTGGAGAAGGAGGGAGAAGATTCCTGCAGCCTCATCTCCAACTCTCCTGCTAACACACATACGGTTCCATTTCCTCTGGCTTGCCTAGCCTCAGTTTCCCCACCTGTGGGAAGATGGGGTGCCAGGGCCCCACGTCTTTAATTGCAGGAGGGGCAGCGAGTGACTGATGGAGTTTATCACAGGAGGGTCCCAGGAAAATGAGATGGGGGAGTGGAGGGTGAGGAGACACAGCCTTCCTGACCCCGGGCTCTGCCCCTCAAGGTCCCCGAAGCTGCCCTTCCCCCAGTCTGAGGCCGGAGGGCCACCCAGAAGGACCCCCCTATGTTATCCACTGAAGTTGGCACAGATACTCTATGCCCAGAGTGCTAGGAAACTGGCATCCCACCCTTCCATCCCCTCCCCCGGGGACCACGGTCCCCCTTCCCCACCACTTTCCAGCCTTACCCCCAGCCCAGCAGTGGAGACCCTAACCCAGGCGTCCAAGACTTCCAGCAGAGTCTGTACAGGGCAGGGGGCGGAGCAGGGGCGGGCAGGGCAGGGGGAGTGGGTGGGGGCCCTGCCTGCCCCCTCCGGTGCCCCAGTTCCCAGGCAGCTCTTAAAGGGACCAAGACGAATTAGCTAGGGACAGCTTCAGAGGGTGGCTGTGGAGGAAAGTGGGTGATGGGGAGGGGATTAGACTTGCCAGGGGCAGGAGGGCCAGACTGGGGGCCTGACACCCCCTCTGCTGCTCCAGAAGCCCTCAGACTCAGTCTAGCCTTTCCCTCATCCCATGGGACCCCCATGTTGGCCACCCGGCTTCTGACTGCCCTCTCCTCCGATCCTGGCCCCCATCCCCCTTGGGCCCCTGCCCACTTCCTCCCCCTCCCCCACATTCGCGCCACCCCAGTCTCCAGCCAGAGCAGCCAGCTGGCACTGACTGGCACTAAGCACAGAGAACCAGCCCAAGGATTGTGAGGGCTTGCGGCCTGGCCCCAGAGGGGGCGGGGAGGCCAGCACCTCCGGGTCCCTCGGGGGGCTGGGGGCAGGAGGCCCCTTCCCCTCCAGATCCCTCTCCAAGCTGTGCTCCTCTGGCCCTCGGGTAAGGGCACTGTGGTGCTGGGGCTGGGGCTGCAAGGAGGCAGGGTCGGGCGCATCCCTCCCCGTGCTAGCCGGCTAGCGTGTGAGGGCGGGGGCGCGGAAAAGGCGAACGACTGAGCCGGTTGCCTGTGGCCACAGAGGGGTCTGGGCAGCCAAGGGAAACAGGCGGGTAAGGAGAGGACAAAGGCACGAAGACTCATAGACAGCAGACAGCGAGCCGGCAGGAAGCATGGGCTCTCATCTCTTGGGCTCAAACCCCCTGGCTCCGCAGTGCCCACAGCGCGAAGCCCCCCCCACCCCGCTGGAGTTCTGTGGGTGTGGGAAGGCTCTACCCCAGTCCTCCCGGACCCCGCCTTTCCTAGAGTTTCAGTATATACTCAACCTCCTACCTGCAATTGGACTTCCTCTGATTTCTACCTGATAGAATCTCTCTCTTTTTTTTAAAGATTTTATTTATTTATTTGAGAGCGAGAGAGCACAAGTGGGTGGAGGGGCAGAGGGAGAGGGAGAAGCAGGCTCCCCGCTGAGCAGGGAGCCCGACGCGGGGCTCGATCCCAGGACCCTGGGATCATGACCTGAGCCGTAGGCAGTCGCTTAACCAACTGAGCCACCCAGGCGCCCCTTTTTTTACTCTCTACACCCAACATGGGGCTTGAACACACAACCCTGAGATCAAGTTGCGTGCTTCACTGAGTGAGCCGGCCAGGAGCCCCATTGATGGAATTCTTCTTGTCCTTCCCTGCCCGCCCCAAAAGAACCCCTTCCTCCGGAAAGTCCTCCTGGGTCGTCCCACAGTATTCTGAGTTGCCACAACATTTTCTGGGAGTCAGGAGCCCTGGGCTCCACCACCAGCAAGCTGGGTGACTTTGGCCGAACCTCTCTTCTCATTGGCTCTGGGGTGCTTCGCTTTAAGTGGGAAGAAGAACAACCGGTCTCTGCACAGTTGCTCACACTGAGTGGTTCCCTTCCTGCGCTTGCAGACGCTGACAAAGTACCTGCTGTGTGACCAGACACTGCACTAGGTGTTGGGCATGTAGCATGAATAAGACAGACCGAAACACCTGTCCCTGGGCGCGCACATCCCAGGACGGAGACAGAAAATGAACAAACACGCAAATGAGTATGTCCAGTGGTGCTAAGTGTCCTGGGGAAAAATAAACTGGGGAGGCTGGCTGGGAAGTGTTAAGGCTCAGGAGGAGGAGGAGGACGCTGTTTTAGAAAACTTTGTCAGGGAAAGCTTTCCCGGATGATGACATTTGAACAGGGACCTGGAGAAAGTGAAGGAAATATTTGATAGGAAAAGTGGTCCAGGCAGGAGGGGGGCCACCGAAGGCGGGCAAGCACTTGGTGGGTTCTGGGAACCAGGTGGCAGCCACGGGCTTGCACAGAGGGGGCCTGGGGGTGAGGGATGAGGTGCCCGGGTGTCACGCCGTGCTCCACACGTCATTCATGCATTCCATTTGGCTCTTACACGGACTGTTTTAGGAAGGCTCTGGAGCCGTAATCCACCCAGGAGGCAGGGGTGACAATCAATGCTGGGAGAGGAGACTGGCTTCCAGATCTGTTGTAAAGAGCTGCATCTTCTGGGGGACTGAATGTGGTGTTCGAGAAGATGAGAGGAGTTAAGGATGAACTCCAGGCTTCGGCCTGAGCAGCCGGAGTGAAGGCTGGTCACCAGCTGACGTGGGGAGGACGACGGGCAGAGCAGATCGGGGCTGTCGGTACAGACATGCTAACCTGGAGAAGCATCGGGTCTGGGGTTCAGGGCAACGGAACGAGCTAAAGGTGTCCACCTGGGAATCAGCAATGTGTGGGTGGTGTTTAAGGCCGTGAGCCTGGAGGAAGCCTGTCTTGGCCCCCATGTAGACAGAGAGGAGCTGGGCCCGGGGGGTTCGGTCTGTCAGATGGGGAGAGAAGAGGGAGACCCAGCAGTGGGGACTGAAAGGGACCAGAGCATCATCGTCTGTGACAAGCAAGGACAGGGGCGGTGAGGACTGAGTAGAGACCAGTGGGTCAGCCATGTGCAGGGCAGGGGACCTCAGCAAGAGCAGTCTCTTTGGAATGAAGAAGGAAACAGGTCAGCAGCTGAGCACGAGGAGGAGAATT